ACACACACACACACACACACATGATGCGCAGAACTCCGCATTTGAACAGTCAATAGCAGATACTTAAACTAATAACAAAACAGTAACTGATTCAGAAGCACCAGGATTGTCATAGCAAAGTCAGAATTACCTCCTCTCCTAGGTTCACTAAACGGTCGTCCATAGAATGCATTGCTGTTCTGTTGTAAGTGATCTTAAAGATTCCTAAATGCATCTACTTTCGGAAGGCCAAATAAAGTGCTTTTGCTTTCGCACTGAAATACACAGCGTCTCCCTGACATGGCTGCATCAACACTACTGCTGTTTCTGAAACCACGCCTTCTTTCTTTGCGTGCACGTTTGGGCGGCATTATGCTAATATTTCCACATAGTGATGTAGATATGTGGGGGCGTGTTAGAACGAGACGTTTTAGGTAGGCGTGGCTGACTCTTAACTTTTATAAAGAATATCTCTTTGGATTTGAGACTTTAGTGTTTGCAACTTTACAGATCTTCTTTATGCACCAAGAGCTTGTAACACTCCAAAGAGAAAGGAAACATTTAAATCGCATCATATGACCCCTTTAACAAACACTAACAAGTCAACAGTTGACATCCAGTGTAGAAAACAGAGCTAAAGAAGATAACATACCATGACTACAGCAAACTAACCTCAGATGGCATGTGGACACTGATGACGTCCTTCTGTGCTGATCTGGGATCAGTTTTGAGTTTGTTTTATGATTGAACTGCTGTGGGTACAGATGAGAGGACTGGATCGCTGGCTGGGTTATTGAGAATATTGAGGGTTTCAGTCAAAGCTGAGGACAGAAATTGTATGTCGTCGACCCAAACAATGATTCAGCAAGAGCTGAGGATGCCGTGTGCTTCTGTGTATCGAGAACTAATACTTACAGGATTACACCGATATGAGCAGGGTGTGTATCGTTTTTAAACTGATTACGTGCATAATCGCAGAGAGAAATGAGAATTACCAGAGCTTAATATTGGGTCGACACAATTTCACCCTTGATTTTACAATGGCTGCATCTCAATAACGAATATGTTTGTACTTTTTTTTAAATTTTATTTTCAAAGTATTGAATGCATGTTTTTTTTTATTCTGTTCATCCAGTTTGCATAAAGTGTTCAAGCTCTCTGCACAATAAATCCTTCTTTTATTTCCAACTATCTATCATTTTTGTACCGAGAAGCAAAATGACATACGATATTAAGTATTGTTTTCTAGAAAACAAACAAACAAAAAACTCAATTAAATGAATGCTTGAAACGAGAAAAAAAAAAACATATCTGCCAATGGGGTCAGAAAAACAAACACAATTCAAAGGGAAAACAAGCTTATTGTTTTGGCAGAGATTTGTTCTTATTTGAATCAGAAACTTTCTCAGGAAACGCCTTCTTAAGTCATTTTGCTTCTCAACTAAATGCATGTTGATTGAAGAATGTTTAGATATTTTACTGAAAAACACAAAAAAACTGAGGAAGAAACTCATTTTGCAGACCTACAGCACCAAATGCCTGCAGAAATCTGCAGCTTAAGTTTCAGTTTGGTAGTAGGGCAGGACACGTTTAGAGGTTCGGCTGTATTTTTAGCCGTTATGATAAAGGACACTGGGATATGTTGTGACCGCGCTATTCTCGGGCCAGCAGTTGTATATCGGTGTGGATTACTTTCCTCAAGACTTCAGGGCACATGTGACTGCCGAGCTCCTACGCAAACCTCAAGCGATGTTTGGAAAACATTACGACAGAAATTGACAATCACATTTTCATGTTCATTTCATGCAATCATCGTACTGTCAATCAAGAAAGCATTTCATTGAATATTATATGTAAAGGAAAGAGAAACAACCTCAGTTAGTCTCATGGGCGTCTGGAGGAACGTCCTTGTTGTAGTGACCCAGAGCTGAGGACGGTGTAGTGTGACGTTACTGCTAAGTGTGTGTTAACTGAGTGCTATTTCAAGAGTTCAGCCATGTTGGGCTGAGACGCCGAGAGACCTCGAGCTGCTTCAGAAAACACCCGCAAAGAGTTTGTGTGGAGAGGTCAAATCTAGAGTTTAATGCGGTGTACAGCCAATCAATCAATCAATCAATCAATCATTAGAAATAATGCATGTTTGTGTGGGTTTACTCTGCTTTAGGGACACAATTGCTAAAAAAATTTAATAAAGTAAAGGTACCTCCTCAAAGGTAAAACAATAAGTTAAAGTTAAATAAAATAATGCAATAAAAATGAAATGTATTTCTGTAAATGCATTTTCATCCTCTTTCTCTGCTGCTGAGAGACTCAATAATTGATAGAGGTTGCACTGGTGTGACTTTAAAAATGCCCTACTTGTTTTAATGATGCACTGCCAGAAGATGAAAAGCAAAAATCTTCAAACCAGCGCTGACTAAACGAAACCTCTGCAGGAGCCGTTAGACACTCTAGTGCAGACAAACAGCACAGTTACACCAGATACTACTGACTTTAAAGCCCCCTGAACTACACCAAGCATCAGTGTGAAATGCGCTGATCTCCAGCTCTCTGATTAAACGAGAAAAACTGTTTAACTTCAGATACTTAAACTTATGACTTTATAAAAAAAAAAGACTTAAATCTTTAAGATTTCTCTGTATATACCAAAATATGCAGTACCATTAATAAATACATTTATTAGTGCATTATAGTTTTGGTTTTTGGTAAAGAATCGTGCACACACACCTGAGCACCTGTGTGACTGTAATACTCAATGGCTCAATAACACACACACACACACACACACACACACACTGACATGACTGAACTGGTAACACAAACACATCCTGAAATGAGAAAGTATTAATAATAAGTAATCTCCTCCCATCAGCTCGCAGCGGATCTGGGCGGTGTGTGTGTGTGTGTGTGTGTGTGTGTGTGTGTGTTTATCCGTTTGTTCTTGGCTTTGTTTCTGTGTTTGTTCATCTTCAAAGTTTCGGTGCCAAAGAAAAGAGAATGAGCCACAGGAGCCGCCATGGAGACGCGGAGAGAAGCCAAAGCGCTCAGTGTTGTTTTGCTGCTCCTTCACTCGTGTGTTTCCCACAGCGATGAGCCGCATTCATCAGTCCAGCTGGAAAAGAGCAGCCAAACCTCTGATGGATTCACTACAACCACTATTATCTGTCTGTCTGTCTATCTAGCTATCTATCTATCTATCCATCCATCCATCCATCCATCGATGCATCCATCCATCCATCTATCTATCGATGCATCCATCCATCCATCTATCTGTCTATCTATCTATCTATCCATCCATCCATCCATCGATGCATCCATCCATCCATCTATCTATCTATCTATCTATCTATCTATCTATCGATGCATCCATCGATCCATCCATCCATCCATCCATCCATCTATCTATCGATGCATCCATCCATCCATCTATCTATCTATCTATCTATCCATCGATGCTATCTATCTATTTGTATCATGCATGTCTTTTTCTCCAGCAGTATGGAGAAATCTCACTCTCGTCACTCTTGGTGAACCTCAGCGGTCTGAATTTCATCAAATGACTTGCTGATTCTCTCTATCATTACGGCTCAGCGTGTACTTGTACCAGTATGAGTAAAGCACAATGACTCGACTCATTACAGAGAATCAAACATTCGGCGTGATTAAGCGTCCTTGCGTAACTGAAGTGCATCATTAAAGAGCCACATCACTGAAAGACAAGATGTTCTTTTTCCAGCACACACTCGCTCCTGGAACGACCTTCACGCTGGAGGCTCGTCACCGTTTGGACACGACACAGAAAAACTCCAGATCTTATTATGCAGATGTAATCTATGACCACGGCCATGAGGACGTGACATCACTGAAACGCCTCGAACTCCTTCGCGTATGTAAACCCTCAGTTTACCCAGAATTCTGCACCTCTTCAGTGTTTCATAACGTAACACGCAGTCCACAAGACAAAACAAGAAAGTGCTTTCAAGCAAACGCTGCATCAAAATTATTTTCTGTAATTGCTTTCACAGCATAACAGTCACAAAACAACTCTACAGCCACAAGCAACATGTGGGCGGAGTCAAATCACCACAAAACTGTCATTATTAAGTCAGTTGCACTAATTAATGACTGGTTACAACAAGCCATGACAACTAGTAATTTACATAATATTTATCAAATAGGGCTGGGTTTTATATACATATAAAACATCTATATAAAACATATAGAACATTCCCAGTCTATTTTCAGCCACTGATCAGTATTTATCAGTATTTATATATTTGCTCTGAATTAGCTCAATTAGCAGGTTGTTTATTTCATTGTGACCAATTAGATTCAAAAATACAGTATCACCACAAAACTGTCATTATTAAGTCAGTTGCACTAATTAATGACTGGTTACAACAAGCCATGACAACTAGTAATTTACATAATATTTATCAAATAGGGCTGGGTTTTATATACATATAAAACATCTATATAAAACATATAGAACATTCCCAGTCTATTTTCAGCCACTGATCAGTATTTATCAGTATTTATATATTTGCTCTGAATTAGCTCAAATGGGTGACTGTTTTCAATTAGCAGGTTGTTTATTTCATTGTGACCAATTAGATTCAAAAATACCTTAACATCAAAGCATATTTTCCACAGACTGACATTAAATATTTTTTATTGATATGCACAGTGCTTGAAGTGGAAAAAAAGAAGGGCTGATACTGGTGTGTGCCGCCCCACTTCGAGCACTGGATATGCACCAATATAACAATACATAGTAAAAAACAAAACAAAAAAAAAGGTTTTTTTTTGGCAAAATTTTACGAAAAAATGCTACTTTTTGAGTGGTGAACCAAACAAATTACTGAACCATTGCGTTTCAAGCATTTCATAGAAATGAATGAAAAGTTCAAACTTTATATCTTTTTATGTTCCTGAAGTTTATTCGCCATCTTATGCTTTCAAAGCTAGCTTGCTATTGCTAGCCTTCCGAAATCACCTACCCTACCTTTATCAATCGTATAGACACCAGTCACAAGGCAAGGAAGGATCACACAACCAGTCTAATTAGGAAAATTAAAAGTGCATTACAATGATTGTGATATTTACAATGATTGTCAATTTTACATCAACAACAATATTATTGCAGATGTATCGTGAATATCCTGTAAGACACAGTCCGGATCTCAACTACCAAAACATTTCATCCCACTCAAGATACTGGTCTTACAAATCTAGGTTCAAATCCACCTACAAACCAGTGTTTATCCTCTTCCTTCAGATGTATAAGCTAAAGAGGGCAGAGCGAGGTGAGTGAATGAATGGGGAGAGAAACCCACAGAGAGCAAAAATAGCTGGAGCTGAAGGGTTGGAGGATGCGTGGGAACAGAGGGAGCTTTGTACCACCAGGAGCAGATCCACAAAACACACGAGTCTGCGGCGTCACCTCAGTGACTGTTCATTTGTCTGTTTCACCCGAACTCTTCTCATCACTCCAGTCTTTTACACTGCACTGCAATGACACCTGGGAATATTACACTTATTCAGTGTTTGCGCTGTTATACTCTGATACACATATTCAATATTTGTGTGTGTTCTATACATTTACATTCAATTCAGACAGACAGACCGACAGATAGACAGATGGATAGACGGACGGATGGATGGATAGAAAAATTATAGAATATAGATAGAATGATACATTGAACGATAGAACGATTGAACTATAAATAGAACGATAGAACTACAGAGAGAACGATAAATTGAATGACAGATTGAACGATAGAATGAGAACGACAGACAGACATAACGCTAGATAGAATGATGCATTGAACGATAGAACAATTGAACTATAGATAGAACTATAGATAGAATGATGCATTGAACGATAGAACAATTGAACTATAGATAGAACTATAGATAGATAGATATATAGACAGACATAGATAGATAGATAGAGATAGATAGATAGATAGATAGATAGATAGAAATAACAATAGATCGGACAATAGAACAATGAATGTTGGAATGATAAAACGTTAGATGGAAAGTACGAACAAACAAATTATAAATACCACCAATAAAAGAGTTTGCTGACAGATAGATGGTTTTCCTACAGTCATTACACTATACTGAGTCAGTCTAAAAATATCTCTTCTTCTACTCATTGCTCATGTAGTAATGATGTGTTGTACACAGAGTGCCGTACAATCACTACACAGCACAGACTACAAGAATAACACTGGAGTGCAGCGATGGCACTCCACAGAGATCATCCCTGGTGTGGTCTGCGTCTGTGAAGGAGGAGTTGAAATTCTCTTTACCCTACAAGCCCAACCCATGAATAGAACCCAAATAACTTAGAATGTCAGACTCAAAATGGGTCCTGAGACCAGCTGCTCTTACATCAGTCTGAGCAGCTGTAATGTTGTGAAAGACAGCAGGCACTTCACGTTAAGAGACTGGGTGTCTTTAAAGGGACAGATCACCTAAAACGTCAAGTTATGTAATTTACTCGCACTCATGTTGTTACAAGCCTGTATGTGTTTCTGCTTTTCTGCGGAGACAAAAATGGAAGGTGATTCACACCGTCAAGCTCGAAATAGCACAAGAAAAGACCAAAAAAGTAGTCCATACAACTAGTGCACTATATTCCAAGTCATTCGAAGCCATATGCCAGCTTTGTGTGAGGACCAGATTGAAAGTAAAAAGCTTGCACAAGCTTGTAGCTCACAGTAGGTCTGTCTTTAACGGTTTTGTAAGCTCAAAATCACTACCACGATGGAGAAAATTAATGGGTTTTTACTTCCAGAACTCAGCTGTTGCATGAGAGGTAGTTGGAGGGGGGAGGGGCTGAAAAACAAGAGGGATTGATGACATCAACTAAAAAAAAAGAAAAATAGTTTTCGAGGCGGAGAATAATTGTGATAAACAATTATCACACTAGAAAGAGTGCAGTTGCACAGAAAATCAGCCGGATCGAGTGTCGTGAGTCACCAAGCGACACACGATCTGACAGTCTGTCTGGAGCTCAGACCAATCAAATTAGAGGACTAGAAAAAACTAAGCTGTTGTTGGTCAGGTGCTAAGCACCCTCAAATGAAATCAATAGCACCCTCAGTTAAAGCTGTAATAATGGCATTTCATTGCAAATTTAGCAAACTATCCAGTGCGCTATGGTTTGCGCTCTGGGGATCAGTTTCTATTTCAACATGTTTGTGCAGCGTTAAGCAATACAGCCAATCACAGACATGTCTGTTGATTTCTTCAACACAACAGCCAATAAAAGGTGTTTAAGTTCAAATCCACACACTGCTCAAATCTCTGGAGCAACATGAATCATCTCATTATTATAACAGCGCGTCAGTGTTGACGCAATGTAAATAAGAGCTTCATTGTGCAGCGTAGAGACCTTCATTGATTATAACGTAACTTTGTGAGATCGCGATGAACTAAGATGAGTGATAGCTTTTTAGTAATTATAAAGGGAGCGCTCTTTGCGCTATAGCAATGGATGGCGCAAACATTTTAATATATATATATAGTTTTAATATATAATTTTAAGGTTAGAGCACCCTCACTAATTTAAGACGCACCCTCAGTAATTTGAATCTGCCTGTTGTTCGTTTTTATTGAAAGATTAATATAAACACTGATGAAATGTTCAGAGTAACAACAGGAACTACAACGGTTCATTTTGCCTTTTAAAAAACGGCGTTAATCAACATCATACCGATCATAATATGCTAATTTGTGAAAATTTTCTGCAAACATATGAGTGAAATTTGAGTCACTCTCACAATGCTATCATATGACTTCAGAAGACATGGAATATAGTCATATAAACTAGTTTTATGGTGCGTTTTTGAGCTCAACAGTGTGAATTAGTAATTTTTTTGTTGCAAGTAAAAAAAAATCGTTATTGTTGCGTAAATGTTTCTTTTGTGGTACGTAAAAGACAAAAAAAAACATGCTTTAGCGTAAATGTCAACATTGCATTTTTTTTTTTTTTTGGGTGAACTACCCCTTTAAAGGCTGTATGACTCACTGAAGACCCCAGATAAACCGCCGGGGGACTCGACAGCCAGATAACCGTGTATCTCAGTGAGTCCAGCCGCATTTCCAGGACACGGTGTTTGTTGCGTGCATTCGTTTCTGGAAAGGGCCTTTGCGGGTTTGTCTGGACCCGCGACACACCTCCCTTTGACATTGACACACATTCTCCACAGCCACGGCGCGTAAATGAACAGAGCTCTGCAGAACCGCGGAAAAGCCCACGACTGGAGGCGCAGCCCGCTGCGTGAGCCAGCGCTTTGCTCTTAAAATTCAACTTCACATCAACAAAATGCAACACGTACGCATGTCTCCTGCACAAGATCTGCACAATCCACGAACAAAGACCATCATGAGTTAAACGACATGTTATAGCTCGTGTTAAATAACGTTTGCGCACTCACAGCCCATACATCCACCAAAAACTCTTGGAGAAATGTGGGCTGGTTCTGTACTGCTCGCAACCTAAAGGATAGGCTATAAGCATTCATGGCTCATATTAAGCAAGCTGGATTTAATGCTGCTTTATGTTTACAAGTTTCCAGCCGCTGGAACAGATTAGGGTCACGTCTCGTGTGTCGTTTAAAACGGATACTTACGGAACTATCAGCATTTATGGTCTATGAATATTTACGTTTTATTCCATTGTGCACAACAACCGCAGTTATAGGCAATGCATTGTTGCAGGCATTAAAAACATTAATGCGACACATTAATATTGCATGCATCATATTGCACATTATATTGCACAACTTAATATTGCATGCATTATATATATATATATATATATATATCGGCGTGCCCAACTTCCCTAAAATAAAGAAGCAAGCAAAAGTCGACACTCCTTTGTCTGTGAAATATATATGTATTTTTCTCAGTCTTGACCCTGGGTCGCTCCCAGCGCTCTTGAGCTCGCACTTTCTTTCCAGCAGCGTTTGTTGTTTTCTCTCCCTCTTTTCCTCTCTGTCTCTATTACCCCGTTTTTGTTCTTTCTGGAGCCACAGAAAAAAATCGAACAAAAAAATATGGAGCAGTCAATCAAATAAGTCGACTTGAGTTATGGATGGGGGAGCGCAAAACTATCCATGGAGCTTGAGTCGCCGATGCTGAAGCGTTTAGAGAAGTTATGTGGCGTATGTGTTACAACTGGCTATATGTGCCCACAAACCCATCAACAAATCGATAAACAGACGCTAAAAGTCGACGAAAGCCCGCTCTTCTGAATCGGCTCCCCCTGTTTTCGGCAATGGTTCGCTCCCGTTGTTGAATCGCCGGGTGGAACAAAACGCGTTCGCATTCCAAGGTTCTGGTTACAGCTGCGCTGCAGACTTAAGCAAGAGCTTCGTGTGATTCGGGCCGCGTCAGAAGATATAAATACACTAATCTCTCATTTCTTGCAGAAATGCACAGGATATGCAAAATGGGTTCGACGAGTGATTTGTAGAAACGAATGGAAAAGTGGACGCTCCTCATAAAAGCTCGCCTCAGGCAGTCCAGTAGAGCTACTGATGGAGAGTAGCCTATGTTTTTGTATAGGCTACATAGTTACAGAATAATTAAAACCTCTATACAAGGACACTTTATCACAACCGTTTCTCTGTCAGATAAAACATGTTCCATACTGTAGCCTATTTGTATCAAGACAAACATCAGTAGGACTAGCATGCTATTAACAACCATTATCAGTAGATTTCTATAATAAAATATATACTATAGGTGTAAAAGTATCTCAAAACATTGCAGCTTTACACATGCTTTTTTCTTCCGAACATAGAGACTGAATATAATAGTTTGACTAACTGAAACTGTAATTTTGCCAGAAATGTAGATTCATATGAATTACCCTATTAATGTTTCACAGTTTGTCTAATGTGCATGAGTGAAATGCAACAGCAGATTTGCATTGAGTTGTCACATGGGCAGCATTAAATATCTGTACCAAAAAATAAACGGATTTCTGGGTTACTACACTCTAAAAAATGCTGGGTTAAATACAGTGTTGGGCAAGTTACTTCCAAACGGTTGTATTTAACCCAGCATTTTTTAGAGTGTAGATTGAGTATTAGCCTACCTTTGACAATGGCTGTATTGGAAGGTGATTGGGAGTTTATTATTGAGAACGGTTATAAACTTGATTGTTGTCATGAAATCAAATTGCGTGCATTCAAATGGTTATTAATCTACACTGAACCCAAACCACAAAGTGTTGCTATGAACTGTTTTACAGCTGCCAGGTGTAATTAAAAGGCAGATTTCATCACTCACTTTCACACTGCCTGAATATGCAGTGTATATATGGGCGTTTCTTCAACTATGGGCACTTTTATCCTTGTGAAGTTGAATAAAAAAAACTTGTTCAACCACAACACTGTAATGTCCCTTTAAAAAGTTTGTGTGAAAGATTGTTTAGGTGGTTTCTATGGAAATGTTCAGTGACATCAGAGCACATGTTGGACATGGAGGGAATTTAAATTTTCATCAACAACAAATGAAGAAAAATCAAGGTAAATATTGCTTGATCAGTTAATATATTTATTCTACGTCATTTCCAAACATGCTGTGCGACAGCTATATTTTGTATAGAAAGTAATATTGATCGTGGTCTCACATTAAATACTATTATGTATTTTAATTATTTTACTAGTGCTTAATTCAGGTACATTAATAGTTACCAGATAAGTCATATTTTTAAACTGTATTTTCATTGTTGAAGTTTAAAAGTCTGGGTGTGCGACAAGGAGGAAACAGTGATTTTGACACCTATAAGGAGGTTGAAAAGTATGAAAAAATCATAATAGAAAGGTAGTAAAAAGATTTTAAGGTGGTTTTATTGTTAGTTTGACTAAGAAAGAGGAATTTGTCCAAAATTATATGTATTTTTATAAATATGACCAAAGAACATAAAAGTGCCCATAGTCTAAGAATCACCCATATATACTTTGGCGATCATAGCATTCACACAGGAAAAGTCACCCAAAAATAATCATTTAACTTTCTTCTGCAGAACACAAATATATTTTAAAGAAAGTTAGGAGTCCAAATAACATTGCACACATTGATTTTTATTGTATAAACAACAGAGAGAGAAAAAAAGATTTTCCACTGTTTTTTCTTCTTCTTCTTTTTCAAAATATAGAAAGTGGCTGATTTGGCAACGGCGTGAGATTGAGCTTTTAGTTTTAACAAGTCTATAGCAACACTTTGGGGGTTGGGTTCGGTGTAGATTAATAACAATTTGGATGTAAATGAAATTTGCAAGTCTCAAATTGTTCTCAATAATAAACTCCCAATAACTATTGTATATGGTCATTATCAAAGGTAAAACTCAGAAATCACTTTTTTTTTTTGGCAGATCCATAATGCTGTCCTTGAAAACTCAACGCTTAGACTTCTGCATCTTAGGCACACTATGCGAAATATGTTTAATAGCTTAATAATACAAATCTACATTTCTTCTCAAATTGCACAGTTTCAGTTAGTCTTACTGAAGTCAAATCATGGTAAACTTGGATATCATTTGCAGCCCATATAGTGACTAAGCCACGTGTAAAGCTCAGTTCAGCGGGTTCAGTCAGTCCAGGAGCATGTTGGGAAATATTCAGGGTTTCACGGCCCCCTTTAACTCAGCTATATGAGAAGCTTAGATCCCTGTTGCACAACATGAACCTTTACAGAAGATAACACTTAACTGACCTCAGGATTTGTGCTGAAAAACAACATCTGCCAGCCACCATGTGCCTTTTCTCCACGACTTACGAGAGTCTGTAGACTCGTGCTAAACCTGATAACAGAAAGCAGCTGTTTTTCCAACACACTTGAACATATCAAGATTAACTCGACATGCAAAGCCAAAATGGCTGCTTACGCATTTTGAGTCAAGATGAAGCCCATTTAATTTCCAAAATGTGACGTCTGCGCTCCGATGGAGCAGCGCATGATCGACAGATTAGCTTTGCAGGAGTGAAAAGAGTCGGAAATCATGCAGGAATGAAGTGAGCCGGTTTTCTGAAAGCATTAATCAGCAAATGTGAAGGTCAGAGAGTCAGCGCAGCCACAGCTCAGACGATCTCAACTTTAGACGGATGATCACCATCCCTTTGAAATCAGTGGAGTTGTGAAGGCAGTGTTTAGGCACCTTGAAATAGACGATTCAACTAAAAACACATTTCAGGGACCTGCTTTTATCCTTTGGGAATCGATTGGATGGTGAAAAGTGGGTGTTGCACAGCAGAGCTTAAAACACCAGCGGCACCCATTGATTCAAACTTATGTGGATTTATTTATGTATGTATGTATGTATTTATTTAATCATAATGACAATAAAGCACAAATGAAAAAATATATAGGCCTACATATGTAATATTCTAACATTATTTTCTTTTACAAATTTTTAAATAATTTTCTGTTTAATATTTGATTACATTTGAAAATGTACAGTTTTAACTAATGTCCTTTCTGTCTTTCTTTCTTTCGAAATCAATCATAATTAAGAATATCAATAAACAAAGAAAATGATATGCAATAATTTAAAAATATTTTCTTAAAATGATTAAAACGTTAACAATTATGTAAGGAATTTCAGTTTAAAATTTGATTTAAAAATAATCTACATTTTTAACTTGTCATTTATTTTTGGTTTGATTATTTGTTTGTTAGATTTTGATTATAGAATTAAAATGATCATAACAATAAAACATTAATAAATAAAAGCATACAATAATATTAATATGATTTATTAATAATATCGTCTTAAAACAATATAATAACAATTATATGAGCAATTTTAGTTTAATATTTGATAAAAATCTTCACTTTTAACTGTCATTTATTTTTATTATTTTTGTATGTATTCATTCATTCATTTATTTCATATCAGATTAGAAATGAAAATAATCATAATAACAGTAGAAATTTAAATAATCATAAAACTTAGGGAAAATTTTTTTATAATAATAATAATCAAGTGTAGTGTTCGTTCTGGCAGGTCACTCACTTTAACTCTAAGCTGATCCACGTCTACCCAGTCCAAAACCTTTCTCAGCACCCATATACGTCCTTCAGTATTATCAGCTGCTTTCACGTTGCTTAATAGCTAATTACCCTCCTCCATCCCCAGCTCCACCTCTCGTTCAGACAGGATTCAGCCTTCTGATTCTCCTTTGAATCAGACTAATAATCGGTTTTGATTTCATGTCGACCTCGTTCTTTTTTGGGACTCAGTTTCAAATCGTATAAGCTACTTTTCGCCTCATGTTAACAAGTCTGAATTAATGAGAAAGAAAGTGGCTTTGTGACTTTGTTGAACTGTAGATGAAGTGTATGACACAAACCCGCAGACTGTTCACAGTGTGCCACTATTTCAGTCATACACAGCGTCTGCTAAATTAAAGTGCCCTATAGAAAGTAGCAAACAATGTGACCCGTCACCAAAGACCACAGTGAACGCCGGCTACAATTACACACAACAATGCAGGAGCGCACAAACGCAAACACACACTGCAGTTTGGCAGGAGCTGATGTGGACTCAGGAAAACACTTCTCAGTTTCAATGGCATCGTGTTTGAAGCCCAGCGGTCGGATGTTTGGCCGGAAAAGGAGTTTATTTTGATTTTGATAAGGATTTCTCTATGTGAGGCGCCGTTTCCAGAACACAGGGGTATTTTATCCAGTCACAGGCTGTGCTGGAAAGGCTGATTTAGTCTAAATGTGCTGGCTAAATGATCATTAAAGGGAAAGTTCACCCAAAAAACGTTCGCTCATCCTTCTGTCATTCCAAACCTGTATGAGTTTCTTTCTTCTGTTGAACTTAAAAGACCTTATTTTGAAGAATATGAGTAACCAAACAGCTGCTGGTAGCCATTGACTTCTATAGTATGGAAATAAATACTACTGAAGTCAATGGCTACCAGCTGCTGTTTGGTTACTCATATTCTTCAAAATAAGGTCTTTTAAGTTCAACAGAAGAAAGAAACTCGTACAGGTTTGGAATGACAAGTAAATGATGACAGAATTGACATTTTTTCTTAGGTGAATTATCGCTATAACTTTAATGAAGGAAAGATCTACAATCCCATGAAGCATTGCAAATGATAGACAGTAATCGAGAAAAAAAAAAAAAAAGAATGGATACTTGATTAAGATGAGTTTAAGATGTTGATCATGTATATAGAAACAATATTTTTAAAATATGTTGCAAAATATACATATGGGTCATTCCTGCGATTCAGTACCTTTTTGACATAACACTCAAAAAACGAAACTACTCATATTCTTCAAAATAAGGTCTTTTAAGTTCAACAGAAGAAACTCGTACA